TAAAGAGACGGTGCAACATTTTCCCTCGCTTATCGGCATCGCGCAGATTTGTAACAACAAAATTAAATAAAAACGAGCCGATGTTCGTTGACACCCACGCGAATGCCACCGCGCGCCGCCGCCTCGGCGCATTCGGCTCGCAACATGTGTGTAGATGTGCGAGTATAACATTGATATTCGTCAATGACACGAATGCCGCTGCTGCCAGTGCTTCAAACTCGAGCTATACACAATATATAGTGTGGCACGATCGCGGCTGCACGCCAGCGCGCGCGAGCTCGCGAGCGTGTGCCACATATTCCCTCCCATGGCAAATAAGCTAATGCAATTAACAACACTCTCCGAGAGAGTATATAACACGACTCGAGCATGCGATGTATCTCGCTCTCCTCCGCGCGCGTATTGTATCGTGTACATTTTTTTCCGTCGATTCTGTATTTTTTCGCGTTTCTTTTCTCCGCCTCTTTAGCGCGCTCCTATATTCGCTCGCGATCTTCCTTCTTTCACCGTGACTACGTCAGCGAACAATGAAGAATTGCGATTTCACGTTTAATCGCGTAATATAACGCGGACACGCGAATCGACAATGAGAATCGAGTCTGCTCCGCAAGACGTAATAGAGGTGTGTGTGTGTGTGTGCGCGTGCGTCTTGATTGCAGCGCGATACAAATTGAAGTACGCGTTTATACATTATATGTAGGGTATATCATGTACGGAGCCCCTCCGTGCGTTAGAGAGAATCCCGCTGATCCGAACGGAATTTTTCTTTCTCTCTTTCACGAGTTTATAAGACGAGCTCGAACGCGTGTGCTGCTGCTGCTGCTGCGAGAGTTCGAGCGCACGAGAGAGAATTGAGAGAAAATACGGAAATCGTTTTCGAGAGCAGCTGTAGCACAGTGTACGAGCATTGACTATATACTTATTATGACGAGTCGTTCTCTCTCTCATTCTCTCTTCTGCAATTGATGCCTTTTCTCGGCAGCTGCGCGCGTAGTTTTTGTTTCAAGTGGAATGAACGAAATCGGACAAAAAAAATTCGAACGAGTACGGCGAAAAAAAGGTCGGCATACACGATAAATGTGCGTGCACGAAGAGAAAAGAAAAAGAAAGAAAGAAGTATTACCCAAAAGTCATGCGGCTCAACCTTAATATAAGCGTCGTTATACGCCATGACCTAATAAGTTAGGGCGTAAGCGCGCAAGTAAGAGTGTGCGTGGGGCAGTGTGTATAAAACGCGATTCGAGCTACCGAACTCTAAAAATACAACTTGAGTGAAGAGTCGCGACTCCGAAGGAGAGCTACACGTAAAAGCTACACTATTTTTCTCGTTTATTGAAATAACAAGTATTTCAGGAAAAGGGGGACTTTTTCCAACTCGTTGGGTGCGAGAAACGACGACGACGACGACGACGACGACGACCGCGATGCAGTAGTATACGCGTGAATTCGAAGCGCCAAATTTATCCGATTCAAATGTATCGATCACTCCGTATTCGCTGAGCCGAATATTTTGTTTAATAAAATCAATTTGCGGACGGACCTCTGGGCGTGTGTGTGTGTGGGTATTTTTAGTTTCGATTGATACTTTATTACTGACTCGTCAAAGTTTAAATAATAAACTGCGTCAAGTCATTGGCACATACAAAAGAGACCGGTGGCCTGTATATTGATGCTTGCACACACACACTAGGCGGAGGAGATGTGCTCTCGCGCGTGAAGCTCGGTGTGCTTTTTTTATATACAGCTTTCGATATACATGTATATCTACAAATTTAGCTCGAGTTGTTGTAGCAAGTGTTGTTGTACACGTATATTTGCCCGCACGATGTAACCTTTATACACAAAGGGTACGTCAAGAATTTGACGGATAGAAAAGTCGTGTACCGAGCAAAAAATTTCTGCTCAGCTGGTTATGGCAGTGTGTGCTCTCTTCTGTGCTGACGAGTGAAATCTCCGTTGGAAATAACGCGCAGCACACACAAATCGACCCGAGAGCCTATTGTAATAACCCCGCCCGCTCGACGATGACGAACACCACCGCAGCACCGCGTTGTTACAGCGAGCGAGACGAGCGATCAATTTCATAACGAACCTCCCCTCCCTCTCTGCTCTCCTCCTTGTGCTGATCTCCGCTGTTCTTTCCGGCCAATTTATTCCATCGAAGCTTAAATAGTTGCGTGTATAGCTCTCTCTTTCTTTCTTTCTCTCTTTTTGCCTAAAATATACATAAGCAGAAACCGCTCGAATTTTCGTTCTCGCGAACTGGATGGTACACAGAAGTCACGTACACCAGAATTCAAAGAGCTTCAACGAGTTTTTCCATTCGATACAGATAATTGAATATATCCGCTGGAGTCGTGTACGTGTATTGCGAGAATCACCTGACACGGTTACAGCGATACTAGGCAATTTACACGAGTGAAAATTCTATCCTTCTCTGGTGTCGAGCTTCCTCTGCTGCAACTCCCGTCACTTTATTTGTGAGATACAACGCCCAGATAATGCATCATCGATACATAGGTGTACGACAATTCTAGAGACTAACTCTACGTTATCTTATTCCATCTTATTTACTTTTTTCTCCCTCTCTCTATCTCCCTCAGAAAGCAGAAGAGTATAGTTTTACCCAAATGTATACGGTTAAATCGTCGGTAAGAGAGATAAGCTGAGATTCTAAAACTCGCTGTATAATCGACCATTTGCGACAATCGGGACGGTACGATCACTTGAAAGCGATCAAGGTCGATATAAAACTCGTCAAAATTTCTCTCGAGCTTCGGAAGCGAGCAGTTGCAACCGGCTATAGCTGATTACTATTCTCTGCAGATATAGAGCTCTGTATACGATGTTCGAGCTATAATATCGATGAAACTGCGATCTGGTCATACGGTCAAGTTTTCCCAGTCGAGCTCTAGTGGCATAGTTATTGAATTTCAATGTGCTTTTGTCGTCGATATTATGAGAGAGAGAGACACATATTGAGGGACAATAATACCTTATACATATATTCAGGAAGGTCAGCAAAGTCGGCCATAATATACTTGCAGATGTCATGATTCGAGCATGTATCGTATTAATACAAGTCCAAACGAGCGTAAATGTCGAGAGAGTCCCTTGGAGCCATCAACCCTCGAGGTGGTGTTCTCGCATGAAACGGCGTAGGCGAGCACGCGAGCCATCGATTACAGACGGCACAAACACCCGAACTTGTATGCGTTTACATATAGGTCGATAAACAACGAGCCATCTAATCACGATCTACTCTCTCCCTCTCTCTCTCGTCGTGCCAGACTCGAATCGAGAAATACTCAAGATTGTCTCGCATTTTCGCTCGAGTATGTCGGCCATCGATTTTTGAATGCCAGACACGCGTACACCAAGAATTCAAAGATCTCTCGACTTCCTCCTCCTGCCTCTCGACTAATAATCTTATATATGGTAGACGCGTCGAATTCGCGAAGTGCAATATTCTATTATGCCGCGCGCATACATATAACTAGACTAAGTTGCAGCGCGCGCGCGGGTAATTGTGCGAAACTTCGTAACACGTATTGTCTATATAGGCAACTGCAGCAGAGCCGTAGCGCACAGCGAAGTATTTGGAACTATTGCGTCGCGCGCGCATATAAATCTATAGAGCGCGAGATTCGCTGCCTGCAGCACTGCACACCAAGTCCGCAGATTGGCATTTCTCGCGCTTACACGACAAGTATTTGAGCTAAGCAGCGAACGCAGAAGAGCACACAAACACGATTACATGCCTATCACGGACACTTTACGCGCTTATCCCCCGCAGCCGCATCAGCTGATTTTTATCTGCGCCAATGTCTGCGAGAGCGCGTGTGTCACGTACGCGTGTTAAATGTATAAAATGCGCACATGTCTGTGTGAGTGTGTTTTTCATTGTACGAGTTAATCCGCCACAAACACGTGTAAACGTGAACTGTAATAATGACAACTACGTAGTTCGCCTCGGCTCTCGAGCTCGTTGCTAATACACGTTGCCACCTATATAGCTATATATAATGCCCGACTTGGCTCTGCCTCTTTTCGTGTGTGCACATAACCTGGCCACGGAGCGCTGCACTTTTTCGCTGCTTTTTAAACTCGCAGCGCCACCTGCGCGGCCGAGGCTCGCAAACGCGATTTTTCTCTTTCATTAATAATTGCAAAAATGTATTTATTTACCACGCGCCTCTCGACAATTTCTCGGAACGATTGTTACTTAAGATGATTGCAAAATAGTAAAAACAGCTTGTAGGAAGACAAGCACAGTAGTAACTTTAACATGCCTGTACATCTATCTGTACAGACTGTTATGTGGCTGATGTATCTGCTTCACTTATACTTGTAACTGTATTGAATAATCAAGATCAAATGAATAGATGACAGTATTGAAGCAATAAATAAGCCAATAATAAACAAATGATTAATCAGATTATTCTATTTGGGTGTTGATGTGAGCGCAATAGGCAATGGATCAAAGTGCTCTTACAAAAATGAGATTTGTTGCTGATAAGAACATTTACTGGGTGCGAGTATTCTGAAATATTTAAGTTTACTCAAAAACACTATTATGACGATTAATAACTATCAAGATCAATGTTCAGAATACCCTTTCAATATTAAAATTGGTTTCTATTACACTAAAATACATTCAATGGGTAGAATTCCTTATTATGCTAAAAGTAAAACATCTTGTACCATTTTCAAAGTAAAAATGGTATACTTAAGTAACATAGCAACAAGTACAATTCATAATTATCAATTTTCATCAGTCTTGAATGCTTTTAATATAAATCAATTGATTTTAACATCCCTAATCATTATTTCTGTCATAAACATATCATTGTAACTATGAATTGGTACTTTTTTGTTTCACGTGTTTATAGCAAAGCACAGTATGCTCACTATCTTTTATTTCATGCATAACAGATGTGTATAAACACTTGGAATGTGTTTTAATGTTATAATTTGATATCTTTTCATATGATACTCACTGCTTATTTTAATTCCACCGAGTGGAGGATTTGCTGGGGGTTTATTACCCTCTGCAAAAGAAGTTGTCCTGGGTCGGCCGCTCATTCTGACAATTACTTCTGCACTGGCCGCCACCTTGGCCACACTGCAGTATTTTCTCCAATTCCTGCTCGCTAAGGAATATTAGCGTGCTCAGCCTTAAGCAGGCACTGACTTTGAATCACAGCTAAGAAGCACAACTAGTCTCTAGCTAGTTACTGGGTTGATCATGTGTATCCTCACGGCTCACAAATTTCTCAGCACAGCATGTGACTCGAAACTTGGAGTATCACATCACCAGGCACAACACAACTCAACTGCCTCTACCTCTTGGAGCATAAAACAGATCACTTTAAACTGGACCGAATTACTTGAAGGCTGGCTTGAGAGCACTATCATACAGGCTTGGTATACACTGGAGCACTTTTACAATCACTGCAATCAACTGGCTGCAAAAAGGAGCAGTTGATCACAAATGTACAAAAAGTGTGGGTAGTGCACAGGCACGAAGACACAGACACACATACACGCACGGGTTTTTGCACACTCACACGAGAGCACCACTGCACACTGCACAAGTTTTGCACACACACTCACACACTGCGAATATGCAGGCGATTTTTCGGAGTCGCGACTCGGCTCCTTTTGCTCTGGCTGCTAATAATCTGCTGCGAGAATATAGGCGTATTCTTGTCGACGACGACGACGGCGACGACGACGTAGCACTATGAGAGCGCACCGAGAAAGAGAGACAGAGCCTACACGACGACGAGGTCTGCGACGTGTGTGAGTGAGCGTATCTCCGAAGGCAGAGCAGAGGTGCAGATATATATGAAAGAGAGCGAGAGAGTGGGGAATCGCACAAGCGAGCACACTACTACACGACGAGGCACAGCTTGCTGCGGCTGGTATACGAGTTGCTGCTGCTGCCTGCCGCGACTATATACGTACGACTGGCACGACGACGAACACACGGACGCGCTCACTCGTCAGCTTGCTCGCTGATGTAAGTGTGTATTATACGCGGCTGAATATACTTTTATATCTATATATACGTATGCGTGTGTGTGTGTGAGTGAGAAAGACTGCTGCTAGTTTATGCCACAAGTCCTCCTTTTCTCTCTCGCTCTTACTCTAATTCGTCGATGCGCACCGTCGTCTCGCCTATGTGTGTACGTGCACTGTGCAAGAAAACGCGCACCGGCGGTTGGCTGCGCTCGGCAGCAGAGCCTGATCGAAGAGAAGCCTCTTGGTACGAAATTCGAAGCGCAGCTCACACTTTTACACACGCACACGCGATCTGGGTTCTGGTACGACGTGTTGTACCACGTACCACCAATGATCCTCTGCACTGCTCTTGCGGAACGCAGTGCAAAATGCAACGGTGGCAAAGGAGGAGCTTTCAGTTCATTAACTGGGCGATGGTTATGTATATGTAGGTAAAAAGGTGGTGCATTCACGCATATATATGTGTGGCAAAGTCGTCGCAGTTCGTGTATGCGCGTACGCGTGTACCCTTAACCGATGTACAGCAGTCGGAAACCTACACACCCACGCACGCACACGCACACGACGCACACCCGAAGACGCGTTCGTAGTTGCTTGTGCTTCAATAATATACGCGGCAGAGCCTTCTTTTTTCAGCTGTAGTATATACGTGTACGAGCTGGCTGCTCTGCTGCTGCGGCGGCCGCGGCTAATATGTGTACGGTGCAGGAATTCTGCTGTGAGCTGCTGCTCCGTCGCAGACCTTATACTCTATAACTATACGTGGGCGCTCTTTTGCGCTCTCTCTCTCTCTTGCTCTCTTACTGCGCTCTATATAGTGCCGATGATTTTGCAGAGAGAGCCGCAGAGAGCTGCCTCTGTATGCGTGCGTGCGTTATATGCAATTGTGCTGCTGCACTACGACGGTCTCCACCTTATAAAACTGCCTCGGTGCTGCTGCTACGGGCTGATTTTGCCTCAGCCTGCCTGCGAGCGAGTATATTCCTTCGTGCATGCGTGTGTCGGTGTGCGCAGCGCTGCTGCTGCCCGCGAAGAGTCGACGTTTTCCGAACGGCCAGTATTATGCGCGCGCGAATATCGTTGTGGTGGTTTACTACGGCCGCGTGCACTGGTGTGCGTATCGTGCCTTGCACAAATATATATACGCGTATAGGTGTAGAGCGCGTGCAACAATATGATACTCCGATGTGTACAGCTGTATACGTGAGCTTGGAGTGTTGGATCGTGGAATCGCCGTAGTTGGGAGTCACGGAGCCACCGTCCGGCCGAGCATCGGCCAGGCTGCGAAAACGGTATATAATCAGACAGCCAGTCCCATGTCGGATGTACGACGATAGGTTCGCGCGAAGAAACGGCAAAGGCGCTTGCGCGCGAATATCTTGCAGCAGCGGCGCGACGACGCACGCGGATATCTTGCAATAGTTCAGGCGGCAGCAGCACAGGCAGCAGCACAGGATGGACGGAACGAGCCTACATAGAGGCACAAAACCACTGGCTTACGAAAATTGCTCCTATTCTTTTTAGGCCTATAAGATTGCTTCAACTTTTACGCACCGGCTCGCTCAAATTTGCGCGACTCTCTCTTATACTTAGCTTATAAATACATAGTCGTCGTCGTTGTTGCTGCTGTCGTTTCCTCTTTTATCTCGCTCGCTCGTTCGGTGCTTTGTATACATACACAAAAAGATCCATTCACCACAAATTTAGCACTCCTATTCGTGAACTACGATATTGCTGCTGCTTCTGATGATGATGATAATGATAATATTGACGATGTCGATGATGAGAATTGCGGATGTTAATCTCAGCACAGGATCGCAAACAGAGACAATTTCCTTGTCAATATGTGCTCGATTATTTGGTTCCTTTGACCCACTTATACGTTTCCTCCAAATTTCCAAACATATAGCTTCGTAAAGTTCAACTTTGAACATGATCGAGAGCCGGCAAATTAATCTTACATAAAGCCATAATAAAACTGTAGTAAAACCTCGTGATGCAGCTGTGATTAACAATTCTCGAATTTGTATTTTGAATTACACCTGCTATCACGCTTTTATCTGCCGATTTAGTGATCCATAATTGACAGAGCGAACGATAAGAGGCATACGTGATTTCGACGACACAGATCCGCGTATATGGCTAATATGATATATAAATTTCGATCGAGTGCGTCGTTTACGCGATCTGTTTTTTTCTTGTTAGTACTAGAGTATAAGAGACATACCGGGCAAATACCTCAATAGATCGAGAGAAAATGAGGTCCCCGCGCCGCGTATCGTTCAAAAACAAGGCAATTCTCTCTCTCTCTGTCTGTGTCTGTGCGCGTGCTGCACATCGAGCTCGCACATAAGATATGTGCACTCGCAGTGTACATCAATCAATTTGACGTTTTTGTTGCGCGCCGTGCCGTGTGTCGGGACTATTAAAGGTGAAATTGTGTGTAGGTAATGTGTGCCCGGTGTACAGGACATAACGCGCGCCTCGAGTTATACAGTGCTGTTGGCTTTTCTGAGAGCTCGCGAGCGGTTTCAGCTTTTCTTTGGACAATGGCTTTAATATACGTATTTTCGGAATAGATAGCGACTTTTTCCTCCTAACAAAGACGTCTCGGCTTTATCGCTCTTTCTCTTTCTCCGTAACATATATTTGTATTAGCGACAAGCGTGACTGACGAGAAAAATGATGAAATAATAATACACGATTTCTTATATGTATATCGTCGATTGACCATCGGCCGCGTCGAAAACGAACAACGTTATACATTTTGTACCAGGGCACATCTTCCGCGAGCCATATACCCAATTTCGCGCGATGCATTTACGAGTATTAGGCTAGTTCATTGGGCGGCGCGAGGTCTGCACCAAGTATAACGTAAGTATATGCTATGTAGCGTACCGAGTTGACCCAGTTTTCGTGCAGTCGCGCCAAACGGTCGCGTGTGCGCTACTAGCTACTGCACTGCACACTAGCCCTCGCACGTACCTATATATTATATGCTCGTGTCGCACGCGTATCACGTGAGCAAAGTACAGTATACCTTAATGCTAGCGAGCAATGCGTTTACTCTGCAAGGGTGCAGCGTCGCTGCTGCTGCTGCACGGAGGCTGAATTTTTAAAATATTAAAAAGGAGCGCAGGCCGCCTCCCGCAAGCGTGTGTATGTGTGCAAGTCGAGTCGGGAGCAAAGCTGCCAAAAATTGCGCGACTCCGTCTGTGTCTCCTCGATGATCAAAGATATGTAACTTTATATAATATCGAGTCGAATCGTCCGAACTCGTCGTTCTCCCCTACTACCTCGACCATGCTCGAGGGGGGCTTGTAAAACGACAAACGCCGCATTTAATAATATACAATGTTATAAAATTCAATCCTGTTGCAATCGCGTGCTGCGTTTTATAACGAGCCGCCGTTGATCACGCTTGCAACCTCTCGATTGCACTCGCCAAAATAAAGCGTCGCGTGATTCGTAATGACGCGTTGGCGCTTTTTTTGGATGAAAATTACAGCCGACAATCAAGCGCGAGGTGGATTAACTCTGATTTCTTAGAAATACTTACGTTTTATCATACTCGACATTTATGAGGCTCATCGTGAGATGCATCTCGCTCAAGTGCACGCAGGGTAGGATCGCTTCTTGACTAGGATTTAAGAATACTAGTATCTAAAATAAAAAAAAATAAATAACAGATGCGAAAATACCGAACAAGAGAGCCAAAAAATTGCTTCCTTATATTGATAAGCTTTTGGCCAATGAAAACAAATGCACTTGAAATACGACCGGAGGCAAACGATCGGAGAGTCAATTTTTTTGTAATTCCCGCACACGACGGCAGTAAATCGAGCTTATACTTCCGCGAATCGAAACTTAATATACATCTACATGCAGGTGTGGACGAGAGAGCGGTCATGAACGAGTGATGACTCGTCTCCATTCCGTCACACTGCACCCACCGTGGCCAATTCATATTTGAAAAAAAATTTTTTTTTCTTTCTAAAATTATAAAATTATGAAATTTATTTCAATAATTAGTTGGTAGAAATAATATTATTATCACATTTTTTGAATAAAAAAAAATCTACCCGCAATTGGACTCGAACCTAAGACCGACCGAGTGCATAAGGATAGCATCAGGCGACCATGCAGTCCCCTGAGCTACCGTCAATGTGTACCTACCATTGCTTTGGAAACTGTACATCCGATGATTACAAATAATCAAATACTATTTTTTTACATTAATTTATATTGAATTTCACGAGTTCAGTCGTTTAACTTTACGTTTGAAGTTAATTTCAGTAAATACCCTTTTAGTTGACCGTATGTCGTTTTCGAAAAATCATTTTACTATGTTTCTGTGATTGAATATATTTTCGTCAGAAATTGAACAATGCTTCTATGATTTAAAAAAATATCATATTTTTGTCGGAAAATAAACAATTTTAGGTGTATTTTAATAATATGTCATTGAAAATAATATTTTTATCAAGTTTTAAAAATTAAAAATGAAAAAAAATTTACTCTGAAGTAGGCTCGAATCTGAGACTAACCGAGTGCATAAGGATAGCACCAGGCGACCATGCAGCCTCCTGAGCTATCGACAATGTGTACCTGCGAGTGCTTTTGAAACTGTACTTATGATGATTTTGTGCAATAATCGCACCATAAGTTTTTTCGGCTCCATCTTCATTGCAATCGACAATAAATGCAATTTATTTTGATAGAATATAACTGTTACATAGTTTAAAGCTTACAAGTACGTAAAAAAATTGCCCGACTCGTGGTTCTTTTTTGAGCTTATCACAGGGCTATTGAGTGAAAGAAAAAGAATCCGCTACAAAAAAAAAAAAGAATAATTGAATGTAATAATCGATTTTGATCGTAACAGCGACTCAAGCCTTAAATTTCCAGAGCTTTTAGAACCTTTAATTTATGCAAGGATTATCTATGAAATTATTTTAAATAATAACACCACAGTATTATCACAAATGTTAATCAGTTACATTTTCGCAGTATGTTGTAACATGAATTTCCACTAATTATAATGCACTGTCAAATTTTTAAATGTTCTTATGCGCAAGCTTTTCACGTTTTTCATGTTATTGCCTTCGTCCTGACTAGGGTTGGAATAATGTTTAACTTTTATTAGCTTCAATTGGTTGTTTTTCTTAAATTCAATTTTTCATCGTGTTCATATAAATTTTTGTATAATTAGCCTGTTTCATATTTATGTATGCGCAAACATGAGATTTTACAATATAGAAAACAACTCTCAGACATTTTTCTCAAGCGTCATATACTATATCTGATCTGCTAGTTAAATTTCTACCACCTGGACTTCATGTGCTGGTACTAATTTTATTTGATATTTGTAAACATCTCGAGCCCTCGAGATTGCTCAGCTATTACTTTTACTCTCCTGGACTAGTCATAATTTTGATTTCACAGTTTGTTGTAATACGAAATAATTTTAATCACATTTGAGAAATAGTTCGATAGTAGTTGACTAGTCTTAAATTCAAAACGATGAAATCCAGTGATACAGTCAACTACTCTGACTAGTAATTGTCATTGTAAAAATTAAAAAAACAAATAAATAAGTATATTTTTTTTTAATTTTATCGATTTTTTCAGTGTAAAACAAGAGGCTAATGACATGTGCTACGATGAAAAAAAATATAGTGAATCCAAAGACCAAACATCCGATACAAAACATTTGCAATACCTCAGATGTCTGCAAGAGAGTACCGTAAGTTGATTTAAATAATCGATAAAATAATCATTTTTTTATTTAATTTTTACAAGATTTCAATTTCTTAACAGAATCATACTCTTGAAAAGCTCGAAGATTTTCGTGAATCTCAACCTAACCAAGAAATTAAAATAGAGTTTGAGTGCAAAGATGTAAAACCCATTGTGAATTTATTGGTAGCTGATAAAAAGAACGAAGAAATTCAAAAACTCAAATCTAACCAAGAAATTAAAATAGAGTTTGAGTGCAAAGATGTAAAACCCAATTTATTAGAACATAACTTGATTAAAATAGAAAAAAAGGCCACCGAGAAGGAAGAGTTTCTCGGTGGAACTATACAAATTAATGATACACATACTGACTGCCAAATCAGGGGACAAAATGCGAAAATTGATGCTTTAGTTGGTAAGAGTAAAAAATCAATTGAATGTAAAACATGTTTGAAACAATTTCTTACAAAAATGAATCTGAAAGATCACATTGATTCAGAGCATAAACGTGTCAAATACCCATGTTACAATTGTGAAAAGGAATTCGAAAGCAAAAGTTATCTCAAATTACATATTGATTCAGTGCATAATGGTCAAAAACCTTACACCTGTGATATATGTGAAAAGACATTTACACAAAAAAGTAGTTTGAATACCCATATTGATTCGGTGCATGATTGTATCAAACACCCATGTACCAATTGTGGAAAGACATTCAAAAATAAAGGTTATCTCAAATTGCATATTGATTCGGTGCATAGTGGTATGAGGCACCCATGCCACACGTGCGAAAAGACATTTTCACTAAAGTCTAGTCTGAAAATACATATTGATACGGTGCATAAGAGTATTTTCTTCCCTTGTGAGATTTGTAGAAAGTCATTTAAAAGCAGAGGTTATCTCAAATTGCATATTGATTCGGTGCATGATCGCATCAAACACCCATGCCAAACTTGTGGAAAAATGTTTTCACAAAATGGTTATCTTAAATTGCATATTGGTTCAGTGCATAGTGGTAAAAAACCTTACCATTGCGATACATGTGAAAAGACATTTTCACAAAAGAGTAGTCTGAAAAGCCATATTGATTCGGTGCATGATTATATCAAACACCCATGTACCACTTGTGGAAAGACATTCAAAAATAAAGGCTATCTCAAATTGCATATTGATTCAGTGCATAGTGGTCAAAAACCTCACAACTGTGATGTATGCGGAAAGACATTTTTACAAAAGTGTAATCTGAATACCCATATTGATTCGGTGCATGATTGTATCAAACACCCATGTACCACTTGTGGAAAGACATTCAAAAATAAAGGTTATCTCAAATTGCATAATGATTCGGTGCATAGTGGTAAGAGGCACCAATGCCACACGTGCGAAAAGACATTTTCACAAAAGACTGGTCTGAAAAAACATATTGATTCGTTGCATAAGAGTATTTTCTTCCCTTGTGAAATTTGTGGAAAGTCATTGAAAAGCAGAGATAATCTCAAATTGCATATTGATTCGGTGCATAATCGTATCAAACACTCAAGTCAAACTTGTGGAAAAATGTTTTCACAAAATCGTTATCTTAAATTGCATATTGGTTCGGTGCATGGCGGTCAAAAAACTTACAACTGCGATGTATGTGGGAAGTTATTTTCACATAACTTTAATGTGAAAAAACATATCGATTCGGTGCACAATAGAATTAATTACCCGTGTAGCACTTGTGGAAAAACATTTTCACAAAAGGGTCATCTTAAAGTCCATGTTGATTCAATTCATAATAGTATTACTTATCTATGAGACATTTGTGGGAAATTATTTAAAAAAAAAGTTTATCTTAAGGCGCACATTGATTCAGTATATAATAATCCGAAACGTTAAAACTGCGATATGCGCGTTAATACATTTTCGCACAAGCGGTGCCTAATTGTAACAAATTCCCATGTCACATTTGAATTGGTGCACAATTGTCGAGAAAACCTTACAACAGCGATCTATGTGAATAGTTATTTTCGCGAAAATATAATCTTTAAAAATGTATTTATTCAGAGCATAATTGTATTTCTCACCCGTGTGAAATTTGTGGAATGGTATATTTGCCAAAAAAATCTAAAATTTCACATCAATTCGGTACAAACTATGGTATATTTACAAGATAATATTTTAATGTAAAGTGTTAAAAATAAATTCATTTTCATTAAATTGAATTTTTGTGACATTATTAGAATATATTTTATTTTCAACTATTATATCCAACACCAATTTAATGACAAGTATACTCTCTTTCCTCCTCAAAAATAACAACTGATTGGTATTTATTTCCACGCAACATAAACATTTTCCATAAAAAAAGAATTAAACCTTGTAAAAAATTGAATAAATCCCGACGTTTTTAGTCTTCTATTTCTTTCAAGTTTTTCCTTCAAGTGACTAAATTTGCGGAATTAATAACTTGGAATCAGTAAAAAAAAACCACCAAACCAAATTTTTCGATAAACATCCAGTAAATATATCGACACCAATGATTTTCTTAAAATATCTATGTATACATTCAACTCACTCGATTGAAATTCTTAAAAATTACATTCCTGATATTCTTGCACGCTGATTGCTCCATCGTTAAAAAAAAAAGACTGAACAAATCAAAGGTAAGATTTTTGTCATAATAAGTATTTTTTCCGGGGCGTTAATATTACAATCCGCAAGAAACTCTCGAGTCACTCGGCAGAATTTCCCATAAACTGGAAATATTTGCATTAGATGTATACGTCACTTTGATCGTGCATTACATCAAGAATGTAAAACGCTTCTGGTAATCCGTGTGAAGACCAATAATTACGATTCCGTACGTACATTTTATAAGGAGTCTTGAGTGTTCAGAACCACGTCAGCGAAGAATGGAAAGCCGAAACCTTTCATCGACCAACGAAGCTGTTCGATTGAAGTGCACATTATACAATCCACCCACGCTTATATTAATTTCTATACAGTTTGGAATTTTTTCTGCAGCATATATTATACATTTCTCGTGTATCGAGCGGCCACTCGAGTAGTAACCGCTTCATTCCAGCGTGACATTTGCGTGCGTTATACATTTGAAAATAATTTACAAAGCACGAACGGAAAGAAGACAATCGATATTATATATAGCTTGGAAATTTTAACGTTACTTTTATGCGCACCGTACGCCTCTTACCTTATCTCGAAACCCGATCTACAAATTGTAATTATTATCTATCCGGCCGAGGCTTAAACGCTCGCGACGCCAATCCATATTACATACCAACTGTACACTTCTAATAATGCATGATGCAACTATTTGTCTCTTGGTGATCATTGCGTCATCTCATTGTAATAACAACGAAATTGTGTGTTCGCTGATTTCTTATTTTTCTCGGGCGCTATACATTTGACGAGATAATTGCAATTTATACGTTGTCTCGTAAAGTCTTAAGAACGAGGAAAAATAAAATGAGCGAGAAAAAGTTCGCATCAACATCGATATTTTGAACATTGCTTCGGAATTAGTAAGCTAAATCCATCTGTATCTTATTATGTAACGGATTTTATTTTATTTCTTACTTTCAAAATATTTTCGTATTTGAAAATATAACCGATTGGAATTGTAAAAATAATAAAATTTAGGTAGATAAATACGAGAGGCGACAAAGTTTTCGCAAGCTTAAAAAAACATACAATAAAACATAAACCTCTCCACTATCGGCCCGTGCGAAAAATTTGCATGCGCAAAACTTTCTAACAATTATTCAACGGCGGCGATGCTCCAGCGCGGAAAATGAAACAACGAAAAAAAGTTTCGAGTTTAGAACTTGTCTCTTTTGTGCGTTATTACATATTGTTAAAGAGGACGCGCGCAGGCGAGTATCCAGGCAAACACGTTCGGCTTTGTGTAAAGGTGTGCACGCGTGCGCCAATTGTACTTTGAGCTTTTTTGCTCGTGTCGAGTGTCGAGTGGATAGATATATGTAAGCCTCTGCAAGATCATTGTTGAAGATTGAGTTTGAAATTATTCAAAGCGCTCCCGAAAATTTTTTCTTTGTTCACTTGGGAAAAGGGTCAATAAGTCCAAAAAAAGAAAAAAAATATCAAAAACAATTTTGACAGTGGCGAAGTTTTTGTGTCAATCTCGGGTAAAAATATTTGCTAACCGAACACGTGTTTGTCGATGATTTATCGAATTTCTCTGATCTTTTTATATTTTCACTGACCAACACAGCGCGGAATGGCATTTCAATAAGATGAAATAAAACCACAAAAACATGTGTAATTAAAAGCTTAATACCTATAAATATCGTAGTAAAATCTGTGCGTTGGTCTCCTCACGTATCCAATAAAATGTCAGCGATCCAGACTTTTTTGAGAAACTCCGCCACCGAATATGGCGGGTGTGTGTTCAAACAATTTCACGCCCACCATTCGGAGCCTTATCGATTGTTTAATTAAAATAATGTAAGTGGAGATATCGCGAATAAATTCAAGATAACAGCTCCAACTAAGATCGCATCCGCGTGAAGTGACATGTTATGTCAAAAAATCATCTTCAATAAATCGGGAAATCCATGAATATTAACTGCGTGCGTGTGTACTCACGAAAGCCTTATTTTTAAATCTCGGCTTATATTGAATTTCACGAATACGTTACACTAATTCAGATTTACATTTAGGATTAATCCCTACAGTAACTACTTGTAAAAAATTATAACTACTATTTTCAATTATGAGTGAACGATGATATTTTACCTTTAATTCGCTTCAATTTCTTAAATTGATTTCAGTTACATCCACATGGATCCCTCAAATTATTCAAATGACCCGCTGCTCCAGCGGCAAGTGCTCCCCTGCATTTTGTGAATTAACCCATAATGATTTCGCGAGCCAACGTCATGCGGCGCTGATCTCCACTGCAATCGCAGCCTTATTTATCAGCGCATCCATATCTGCATAGCGGGCAGCAGCATACTAAAAATTCTGTACCAGCCAGTGATGTGCTAACACATCGAATGCCATAATAATAAAAATCTGGGCTGATCCGAGGCCTCGTATCAGCGCAAAATTTTGTTTTGATGACTTGAGCGGCAGGTATTTTTTGTACACGGAAAGAAATAAATCAATCCCGCAGCAGCCCAATTATTAGTAAATAATGTAAGTTGAGTTTTGTGATAGCATGCACAGCAACTTGTTATATATTCGCTCGCGGCGCTCGGTGTGTTTTTACATATAGCTCTTGCCAAAGTGAGGGGTTGTGTTTGCCGGCCGGCGTATACTTAATATGCGCGATTAAAATGTGTATTTATTTCTGTGGCTATTCACAGTTTATAACTATTCAATATCAGAATTGTCAAGCGTATTTACTTTAGTGTACTTTTCGTTGTAACAGTGAAATGTTTTAATCTTATACAAAAGTATTTAATGTATGTAAACAACTACTTTCAAGTGATAGCTTATCTAATGATAAACTTTTTTATGATTCATTAAAGATCCAGGATGGGGGTCCTTTTAAAGGCAAAGGGTCTGCGGATGTCCGCTCAAAAGCAAGAAACTCTTCTGAAATTAACAATTTTGTCGTTTGCAGCAATTCTTTGTAAGTAATAATTATTATTTTTGTGAGTTTTAATTCTTTGCCTATAATAAAATATAATTTTACTGACCGGTGAATAATTCATTATTTGTAGCATTTGCAACACGATTGTTTTCTGTATTGAGATTTGAAAGCGTCATCCATGAGTTCGATCCATATTTCAATTATCGCACCACTAAATATCTCTCTGAAGAAGGTTTTTACAATTTTCTAAATTGGTTTGATGATCGAGTGTGGTACCCATTGGGAAGAATAATTGGAGGTATAATATAGAATATTTTATTCATTGTAAACAGTATATAATTCAGTAATATAATGATACAGTACGTAAATTAACTCTTATTATTGCAGGAACTATTTATCCTGGATTGATGGTTACTTCAGCTATTTTTTATCATATTGCACAATTTTTGAACATTACCATAGACATAAGAAATGTTTGTGTCTTCCTTGCTCCACTTTTCTCGAGTTTTACAACTATTGTAACATATCTATTAACAAAAGAATTGAAAGTAAGTAATAAAATAATGCGATGGAGAATTTTTATATATTTATACTTAATTATGTACTTGAATTATTCTAGGATTCAGCATCTGGATTATTTGCTGCTTCCATGATTGCAATCGTACCTGGATATATTTCCAGATCTGTTGCTGGATCATATGATAATGAAGGCATTGCAATCTTTTGTATGCTTTTTACTTATTATATGTGGATTAAGGCTGTAAAAACTGGTTCAATTTTCTGGTCTACATGCACTGCTTTAGCATACTTTTATATGGTTTCATCTTGGGGTGGTTACGTGTTCCTCATAAATCTCATTCCATTACATGTTTTAACGCTCATGGTAACAGGAAGGTTTTCCCATAGAATTTACATTGCCTACAGCATTACTTATTGTTTGGGAACTATATATTCTATGCAAATTCCATTTGTTGGATTTCAACCTGTTCAGAGCTCAGAACACATGCTTGTGAGTAAACTTAAAAATTGAAAAACCCAATATTTTCCTAAATAATTTTGGCTAATATTCATTCAAAAATTTACACTATTTACAGGCCATAGTTGTATTTGGATTATGTCAAATACATGCCCTGGTTGATTACCTTCGTAGTCGGTTGTCTGCCACTGATTTTGAAGCACTCTTTCATGGTCTGATAATTTCTACAGTAGTATTGTCAGCAATCGTTGGAGCTATTTTAACAATAACAGGAAAAATTTCACCATGGACTGGAAGATTTTATTCTTTACTGGATCCTTCATACGCTAAAAATCACATTCCAATTATAGCTTCTGTATCAGAACATCAGCCAACTTCATGGAGTTCATTTTACTTTGATCTTCAAATTCTGGTGTTCTTATTCCCAGCTGGGCTATATTTTTGCTTTTCAAAGCTCACAGATTCCAATATATTTTTAATTTTATATGGTGCTACGAGTTTATACTTTGCGGTAAATATTTAATTTTAAAAAGATTAGTTTAAAAAAAAAATTTTGTCATAATTTCATAATTAATTTCATTTCAGGGCGTTATGGTGCGGTTGATGTTGGTGCTGGCACCTGTGATGTGTATTTTGGGAGGAATTGGAGCTTCTACTTTGCTTCTTAAATATATGAAAGACATAGAAGCTAGCAAAGTAGTCGATAAGAAATCGAAAAAGTTAGAGAGTAATTATGTTCTTAGGAGTCAGGTAAATTTTACTATAAAATTGATGAGTTGAACATCGATTTTCACAGAAAAATTAACTATTGTCGTATTGCTTTAATTGTAGGTTGCAACGTTTTTTGTGATTATTATGTGTGTGTTTTTCTTCTCTTACACTTTCCACTGCACATGGGTCACCGTGGAAGCCTACAGTTCACCAAGTATTGTTTTATCGGCTCGATCTCCTGATGGTGGTCGTATGATTTTCGACGATTTCAGGGAAGCGTACTACTGGTTGCGCATGAATACACCAGAGGTAACTTTTTTGAGCTTATTTCATATTCATTTCGTCAAATTTAGAATTTCCAAGTGAATGATATTATGAACTTTGCTTAAAATTTAAGGATGCAAAAATAATGTCTTGGTGGGATTATGGGTATCAAATAACAGCAATGGCGAATCGGACAATATTAGTCGATAATAACACGTGGAATAATACCCATATATCAAGGGTTGGTCAAGCAATGGCAAGTTCTGAAGAAAAAGCATATGAAATCATGAGGGAACTCGATGTAAATTATGTTCTTGTTATCTTTGGTGGATTAACAGGCTATTCATCGGATGGTGAGTTGGTGACAAAAAACTAAGGATAGCAACTTATTGTACAAAATGCTCATACAAATGACTTAATCCATGAAACTTTTTCATTACAGACCTTAATAAATTTTTATGGATGGTTAGAATAGCAGGAAGTACAGAAAAAGGAAAATCAATTTCCGAATGGGACTATTACAATCCTGCTGGTGAATTCAGAGTAGACAAAGAAGGAACTCCCACCTTACTCAATTGCTTAATGTATAAAATGTGCTACTACAAGTTTGGTCAAGTCTATACTGAAGGAGGTAATTATTGCATTTTATACTTTACTTGAAAGCAGTTTTAACAAGTTTAAATAGGTATTTAGTAATAATAGCTCACTAACTTTTTCATCATATTTATTATTATCAATTAATATATTACATTCACAATATAAATTGTCTTTTCTCATTTCTCATAAACAAACTCAGAAGCCACTTACCTTTAAAAATTATTTTACAAAATAATATACATATAAAAGATAGTGATTAACATTACACAATTTCATAATAATATTTGCATACAGTAAAAAGTATGTAATTTATTTAATATATTTATGTAAGAAGTAGGGAATCAGATCTAATTAACAGATTCATAAAAATTGCTTGTATTGACTTAATGCATTGTTTCTTACAACCTAGGCTTCTATTACACCTAGGTACTATTCATTTGTAAAATACACTTATAATTAAGTATAATTATTACACTCGTTCATCCAATTAAAATAAGAAAATACACAATCGAATGGAGAACATTATTTTATGCTACGTAAAGTTAAGAAAAAACATTCCAAAAGCATATTTGGCTATTGCATACAAAGAAACTACTAAATCGAACATCTTATAAAAAACGTTGTTTTAAAATATTGGAGCACGCATTATTTTGAAATTACACAACAGTGATTCAACAATTTAATTTACGCTTTTCAATTTCAGGAAAACCATCGGGGTACGATCGAGTGAGGAACATGGAGATCGGTAACAAAGACTTCGATTTGACTACTTTGGAAGAGGCCTACACGACCGAACATTGGCTTGTGCGCATTTACAAAGTGAAAGATCTGAGAAATCGTGGAAACTGAAATTAAAAATTTGCAGTTTCACGTGATGTATAAAAGATTAATTTAGCCCGAGAGAGATTTTCCTATGTCATGCTTCCGTTTATTACGTGCAACGTGGATACGTTGTAACGATTTTTAAAATCGCTGTCCAATGCACTTATTATAAAATAAATTGTGACGAGTGCTGTAAGTTATAAATAATGTAAGATTTTTTTACGACTATAAACATAAGTTTTTCAGTAAGATCTACTTTTTTTGCAAATTTTTCTGAGGCTTACAATAACTACATTTATTTAAAAAAAAAAAAAAAAAAATCGTCGTATAATCGCAGCGTTTCATTGTTGACGCGGATCATAATATTCTACATCATCAAGCATTCATTCTAATTTTTTATAATGAATCGCGAGAAGTACTATTCGATTGATTTACATGTAGATAAACCAAATAATCTTCTTTCTATGCATGATAGATTATGTATATAAAAAATAATAATTATTATTGACTCAGAAACGTGATACGAGAGTCAAGCGCTTGCCACTGTTCTCCATGCACATGGCACACTAGTGTTCGTACTTTATACTTTCTACACGTTAAATAATTATCGTGTTCAATATGAATTACAAAAATAAGTTTTTAACAATTTACAATCTAATATTTTACAAGAACTCTTCTCTCTTTCTGTCCCCTCGCCTTTTTCGGTGCATATAGTGCTACATCATACAGAGATACGGACGAGTCGATCGATAAAATTTCTATTATCGACGTTCGTGCACGATGCTGATGCTGCCGCTGCTGCTCTCTCTCTCTCGCTCACTCTCTTGTCTCGTATCTCCTGGGAATGAAAAGACACAATTCTTCAGAGTCAAAGAAAGACAACAAAAATCCGTACGTCTGGTAGACAACGAGCGCAGAGAGAGAGAGAGAGGCTGCCTTCTCTTCCCCATTTTTAATCGGTAATTACATAAGCTAAATTCGTCTAATCAGATTTCAGTCCCATTCGCCAATGAACATAGCCCGTGGTGCTGGGGGTATTACGCCCCTCGTTGGTATTGGCAGTCTTCCGTAAATGTGATTGTAAGGTGAGTCGATTCTGTCGTCCACATCTGCAAAGAGGAAACGAGTAAAAACGTTAAAAATGAGGACATTTGATTAATCGAACGCATATACGTGCGTAATGATATAAAGTTGAGAACGTAATGCGTTCATACTGGTAGGCTGGGCTAACGGAAAGATTAAAGAGAACGACGAGAGAGGAGGCACTCGACTTTTTACACAAGCGCGTGTAAGTGTATCTTACTTTATTATTTTTTTTCTCGCGAGGTCGAATCGCGAAATAATAGCCGCGCACCGCGCCCTTTACGAGAATTACGCAATTAATTTCGTCAGTTATAATACGACACGCCGGTGCACTTGTTTCTCGGACAAAAAAAATCGACCAAAATAAAAAACGGAAGAATTTCGGATCTCGTAGTGCTTCGCGTGCGCGGACCATCGGTAAAAGAGATGGGCCCCGTATATCCGCGTGTATTATTACGCGTTCGCGTAAGTGTTTGATAATCAATAGTCATTGAAACGCCTGATGATGGGCCACCTCGGGTGTTTTCATGGGCGTCCCCCGCGGCATACACACGCAGCAGCACGCATTATTTTATTGCCGTTGCGCCCCCTCTTGGAAATGAACTGCTTCTTTTTTTTATTTTTTTTATTACCCCTCGTATTACGAAGACCCAGAGGATCGTATAAACGCATTGAGGTGAACAACAGAATGTAGAGCAAAAGCACACAATACACAATACAAGCTCAAGCGAGGAAAAAAAAATTCAAAAAAAAAAAGGTCGAGCACATACTCACCGAGTCCGCTCTCGAAGCTTCTCGCGTGGTACATGATGGGCTGGCGCTTGCTCACGAGATCGGCGGGCAGATGGCCGTAGATCTGGGCCGATTGACTATGGTGCAGGGGATAGGCGTAGGCCGCCGCGTTGGCCACCGCCTGCGGATGATGCCCGTGTCCGTTGCTGTGTTGATGATGATGATGCGGATGATGATGGCCGTTGCCGTTGCTGTGGACGTATTGCTGCTGCTGATGCTGCTGGGACGAGCGATGCGAGTGCGCGTAGATCTTGGACATGGACATGGCCGGCTGGACCGTGGGCACGGCCAAGTGGTGGCCGTTGCTCTTGTTGGCCATCTTGACGAAATTCGGTACGCGCGCCCGTAGACCGCAGTAGTAAGGATCGTCTGTGTGTGTGCGTGGAAAAATATAAATCGATTATTAACATCTCTCGATTGCGTTATGGCTCGTATTATTATAAGCGATCTCTCTCGTTCTCGACACTTTATTTTTATTTTTTTTTTTTTTCTTTTTTTTTTTCCCGCTTTGCTTCATTACTTTTCGCGTGCGGCGGCGTTGCGAAACGATCGGTCCCGCGCCGCGAATCGATCGAAACTGCGCTGCGCACTACTCGTATTGCGCCGACGAAGAGCGCCTATAATGCACAATAATAATCTTGCTCCATTTGCTGTATTTTGTGTAATATTTTTTTTTAACTGTCGAATCGCGCATATTATAGATTCTCTCTCTCTCGCGCTCGAGAGAGTGAGCCAAAATAATTCGTTGCGCAACCGGTATACACGCCGCGATATTTGCTGCTCTCGACGTATTAAGCTTCAAATTGCGATCAATAGACAAGTGGAATATGTCTATAATATATACAAGGCATTACTGAAATCGGCAAGAGATGCGATGATGAAATCTTGGCTTGCGCTAGACGAAAGAGATCGAGCGGGATTAATATTCGGTACAAGCGCGCGCGATGCACGAATTGCGGCCGCCGCCGCCGCCGTCGCGATCGAGCTTTGATTTTTGTTTTGTTTTTTATTTTTCACTCTAATGAATCGACCTTGAACCTTATAAGCGAGCGAGAGACACTCACCGTATTTCTTATTATTTTCCTTTTTACTCTTCTTGTCGTCCATGGCTGCGGCTCTGGCCGAGCTCGGCGCGTAATCGTTCTCGATGTCGTCGTAATCCGGCTGCAAGAAAAGAAAGGACAACATTGAAAAAAACAACGTTCGATCATATTCTCCGAGGAATCGATATTATTATATACCCTTATGAATTATATTTTTATTACATACATTTCATCAGCGGCCATAAACCAAGTAATAAGAAGACAGAGAGAGAGACAGAGAGAAAGAGAGAAAATTGAGGCAGGTTTTCGTGATGTTGTATTATGAGTAAACGTGCGCTATGTAATATGCGTGAGTGTATATAAAATAATAACATATAAATGTGCCGAAAAACTGCATGTTTCCTTTTTCAGGCATTCCCGGTACGTAACATTTTTTTTCGCCCGTGTACCAATCTTTTTTTTTGTTTCTTTTGCAGTGCGAAATCAAGTGCGGAATGCTAAAGATATTGCTATGTATTTTTGGTTAATCAAAAGACAGACATATGTTGAAAACGTACCTTCACGTAAACCTGCCTCGGCATCTTTAAAAACATAATACAAGACAATCATAATAGACGTGTAAAAACAACAGGTACATATATACGATATAATATCACATACATATAGGCCACAATTACATAAAAATAACAAATACACGTTTATGCGACACGCATGTAATATCGAACAAAAGTTTTCTCTCCTCTGCACATGTCAAATTTCATTGATATAATATACGAATCATGACTAGCAGCGCAATTACCGTATACTATTCATGCCTTGTCTCATTTACAGGTCGCGCATACCTATATCATGTACACCGTGAAGTGCTCCACGGTCCGCGTTTGATATTCGTAAAACGTCACGTTTGCTTCTGTGAGCACGAGATTTTAGCCTTTTTTTTCTCAAAGGCCATCCGTCAATGGCATGTATTTCTCTTGCTTCGCGACTCTGCATGTAGCAGAGAAGAACAAAAAAAAAAGAAGCGAAATAAAGAAACGACAAGAAAACCGGTATACACGCTATACGCGTATGCAAAGTATAAAAGCACAAGAAAACGAAACTCGCAATTAAAGAAATTCGGAAAGAAGAGAGAGACAGAGACAGAGAACGAAGATTGCACAATGTGTCCTTAATGCGCTCTCTTCAACCGGAACGAGGCAGGAGCAGCAGCTCTTCAGCGAGTGATCGCGTCTCGTATTTCACACCAAAGATAATTTTAGTTTTATTTTTTTTTTTTTGCTTAATTTTTTCTTCTTTTTCGCAAAAAAAAAAGTATTCCTCCGAGTCAGTTTCGCAATGATAATCGACGATTAATCCATACGACGACTTTTTTTTCGTATGGCGAGCACGCGCCAATATAAAATTATTTATACAGCAGCGTATATATATTCGTCGCTGACGATTACGACTGACACGGCAAGGCTAAAGAAGATGGTATAACGATTGCGAGAGACAGCGAAGAACGAAGGATGCGAGAATTCGAGGCTCACCTTAGGAATGTCGTGACCGTAGAGATTCTCTCTCGGCGGCAATTTCGGTGGCTTTCCAGCGCCACCGGCGGAGCCGCCGCCTCGCCGATGTCCCGTCAGGCGGGCGTGCTCGCGCTCCAGCTGGTGCTGCTTGTAGGCGGCGAAGGCTGGATGACCACCGCCGCCGCTGCTGCTGCCGATGCCGCGCTCGGTCGAGCTCGAGGTGCCGGCGATGCTGTAGGGATCCTCGTCGGGGATCGGTATGCGCGGCCGATTTTTTATGTCCACCGGCCTCGGTACTGCTCCAACTGCGAAGACACAAAAAGGGAATGAGAAAAAAAATTCATAATTATCATCACGACGCGCCATGACGAAGCGCGAGTACTAATTATCGTTATATCACGATCTTCTTTTGCGCGGCTGTCATTAGCGAGCTGCTCTCGTGACTTTAGGCAGTACGTATAGCAGCCATAAAGCTCGCGCGACGTGACTCGAGCGCGCGGACATCAATCGGTAGGAGAAAATCGAGGTTTTGGGAACGGATCGAGCGTGTTTCTCTTTCAAGGTCGAGGACGCGCTTGCGAGGTGACGATGATGATCTGCTGCACTTACCTGGCGGTAGCTTCGACTTCAACATGTCAAGACCTACAACGTTGACGATGAGCACCCAGATGGGGCACTGCAGCAGATCCGCGTCCGTCTTCACGAAGACGATGGCGCTTAGACACTGGGTCTCGAGTCGCCGTCTGTCCGGGTAGGCCTGCCTCGTCTCCTGCGTCAGATTGGCCGAGAATTTGGCCATGTCGAAGAGCTGCGGAAATAGAACGACGATTAACGATCCGGTTTACAAGTTTTCGATGTAAAATATAGGTACTAATTTAGTGGTACCTTTCCGGGTTTGTCGTACTCGAGGGCGCCCTGAGAATTGCGAACGATTTCGGGGCCGATCGCGTTCTCGGCCTGACTCGTGGGCCTCACGTAGACGTTGCTTTTGCACATGCGCTTGATCAGTATGTTGCCGTCGCCGTCCATCTTGATCTTCACGCCGTGGTTTATCTGTCGTCTGGCCTCCTCCGTCTTGGCGTCGCGCATCGGATTGTCGAAGCCGCACAGTCCTATTCTGTAAATCGAGGAAAATATCATTAGATTTTTCTCTTTATTTGCGGTTCTTATTTTTTTATTTTTCATCTTCCCGTGGACATCAACCATCCGTAGACGAATTGAGCAATTTTTCGTCGGCCTGATCGTCGTCGGATCGTTTATACATAATTTTTTTTTCCTTCTTTCCCTTTACGAAATAGTGAAATCACGGCACGCATTAAGCCGGAAAGGTCATCGTCGTCGTCGTCAAGCAGCGAACGAATTTTTGCCGAATTTTATAATAGCCAGAAATAAATACATAATGATATAATATACGTATCTCGTGCGCGCACACGCAAAGTTATCAATCTTGCGCGTGTTAGCCGAAGAAAAAATAAAAAATGTCCTTTTAATTATGCATACCGGTTGACGTCTCGTTTGTACGCTCGTGTATGCGTAATATTTTGCTATAAATCGCGTATTTGCACGTACACACCTATATCATATATAAAAGAATCGTTGCCGAAATCTATCACTATTATACAACTAAATCACGTGGCTATCGCTCTCTCGCTCGACGCGTCGATTAGCATTTCGCTTCAACCTGTTTTTTTTTTCGCCGAAATACATAAATATTTTTCCATCTCGATACGTCAGTCGGCGCGTATAATAATAACGATGTTGTACATGATATAGTTTGGCGCAGTGGCAACGAGACGTTCGTCGTGTAGGAAGTTTCAAAAAAGGCCGGTGTACTTTTGTGGCCATTCGCGAGAGCACAAAAAGTCGCAGTTACTTCTCTGCGTGCAATTGTCAAGTCGGTACACGCATTCGGCGTCGTCGCAGGACTTAACACACTTGTGTGCTGCGTATATATAATATGTAAGTCGCCAGAGCGAGCTGGGGGCCCCGCGGCCTGCGAGGAGTATACAACGAGTATATACAGCACAATATAACATAACAGACGAATAATCGGAACGTGACCGAGACATAATGTTGTGTTGCTGTTGTAGGCGCACTATACACAGAGAGCTACATCGAGTGATAATCCTGCGCGCGTAGGCGAATATAATTATAGAAATCGGGACGCTAACCGCGAGTACGCAGCACTGGTATAATAGTAGTAGTAATGCGTAGTAAATAGCAGTCAGTGCTAGTAGTAGCTCAGGTAGTATGGAAGTAAGGCAAAACTCAGGCAACTCTCGCGCGAGCGCGACTTTCGATGATTCGTGTATATAGTAGTAGTACGTCTCGGCAGTTTCGGAGTTTCACCGAGTAGGCAGCGAGCCGAGACCGAGGAGAGAACACCACCGTAAGCGCCGCGTATACTTGTGTATATATATGTACGTACGTACGCAGAAACCGAGAGATCTTATATGCACACCGACGACTGCGAGAAACATTTTCTTCTCTTTTCATTTTTCATATATAGCACATGCACTCGTATGTATAGACGTATCGAAGGATTGAATTTTGAAAACAACTCGAGACGATGCACATAATATACGTTTAGCTTTCGCGCGAGTTGGGTAGGAAAAGTCTACGGTGCTCAGGGAAAATTACGCGATTTTTTTAATATTCGCTCGTAGTCGTCGTCGTCATCGTCGTCGAGATGATCGTTTATACATATCCCCAAGGCCTCGAGATGTTTCAATAATTTATGAAAATTCGCCGCTTTTTTTGCGCGTTAATGAAATTCGTCCCCCCGGCGGTGTGGCTTTAAACGTATATTATACACACACGCGTACGGCATAATATACATGACACGAGGTGTGTATCGCAATAGCAGTGGCAAACGCTGTACAAATACATGCTTGCTCGCGCTGCATAGCACGAGATCGTCACGTAACTATCATCATCTCGAAAAAGAAGAAGAAAAGAAGCAGAAAAATATCCACGTAATATACTTTCGCACTTGTAATGCATCTAATACATATATTTTCCAATCGAATATTTCGCCCAAGGGCTCTAGGAGCCGTATAGACATATATGCGCGCATCGCATCTACATACGAAGCTGCTGCTGGAAAATTACGTAAATTTGTGTGTGTGTGTGTGTTTACCGCATGGGGTATACAAAAAGCACAGCTGAAGATGCACACACTGCACATGCACTCGTCGAGAGTACGAATTGCTGTGCCTATATGGGTTTTCGTTGCTGTTGCTACCTGCAGCCTCGGCGGCGACTGTGGCGCGCATCATCCATGTCAGGTATGCGGTATAAAATGCGGCGCGCGCATGGCGTAACGGAGCCCGGGCGTTTCGGTGCCTGCGCGGAGCATTACACGCGACTAGTATATAGCAGCATGGCGAAAATGACAAAGTAAGAGGGATAAGAGAGAGAGAGAAAAAAATCGAGAAGGAGGCTAATGCGCCCGAGCTACCATATCTTTTCTTTTTTTCTTTTCTCGAAGCCGCGCGCGCGCGAGAGCAGCGCAGAGATTGTCTGGCGCGCGCGCATCGATCGTGATCTTTCGAAAATATACGTATCCTGGCTTCTGCGGTACAGTAGCTCGCATATAGTGCAGGGACCAAAAATACCCCACAGCGATAAGAGAAAAAAAGGCCTCCGAATTCCCTCGCGCTGTATATACCTATGTGTATTACTCGCGTTTAGACTATTCGGAAAAAGAGAGTAAACTCCGCCGGAGGAAGGAGGTAGAGGCAAAAAAAAACATCATACGTATATATAATATGTATGTATACGAGCGTCTGCGCCGCGCGCGCGCGTTCGCGAGCAGCGCGAAAAAATATTTCAGGTGAAAGCCGCAAACGTACGCGAGGCTGCCTGCGCGCGCGCGTACTATTTAGTGACCTATTATAATAACATTTCACTCTTATAGAAAGCACACGGCCGACGTAGTGGTAGTAGTGCTGCTCGCTTTACACGAGCCTATATCTCCGCCGAGCAGTTTGGTTTTAAACCATTGCAAATGTATATAAATGCTGTTTTGAGTTGCGCGCGAATTTATGCCGCATACACATCTGTGTATAGCGCTGCGCGATATGCTGGATATATATACATTGGAAGTGGGCTACTGCAAACTCGAGAGCGGCTGCTGTAAACGCGGGCAGGTGCATAAAACTGAATATGGACTATTTATAATGCGACCGCTTCTATATATGTAGCGCGAGATCTTTACCAATGCGCGCCACGATCGATCCGCTGCTGCCGCGCCGAGCTTATATTTATACAGGCTCTGAAAATCACACCATGCATACCGAGTTTATCCACAAGCGCGCGTAAATAAACTGCAAATATTATGCGCAGTCCTTCCTCGGTCTTCCAATGCGAAACGTCGCGAAATCGCGAGAAAAATATCGTGTATATAAAAAAAAGTCGCATTTTATGTATAGCCTAAAGCTGATAGATCGGTATAAGGCCGTGAAAATTTACGCGGCATACCTTATAAATGCGTAATAATAATATATATAAATACAGCTTCGGCGCGGTTACGAAACATCTCCGAGTATGTACGGGGGACCGTCGAATTTACACGTGTGCTGCGTGCGGCTCACTCTTATATACTGCAGCGCGTTTACAACACACACACGTAAGCGGCCCCGAGAGCAACAAAATTTGACGAGTTAATGACGAGCGAACGAACGACGCGAAGAAGAAAAAAAACGGCGAAGAAAATTTGAAGAAACGCAAACAACGAAATAAACGCACGTGCGTGCAGTGCACTGTGCGCGTCGTTCACGAGCGGCGAGCATGATGACAGCTTTGACGATGTTTTGCGGTTTTTTTCGCGCGCGCTGTACACACACACACACACACACAAACGCACATACGCAAAATCGCGGAGCGCAACCTCTTGTTTTATTCGCGCAAAGAAAATTAACCGTGTATATATGTATGCGTGTATGCAGATATAGATGTGCACGAAGCGCGCGAAAAACGTCTTTTGTATACGCATACACGCACATAGTAGAGATATACGTACACGCGGTAGACACCTCGCGCGAGCCCGCGCAATGATTTACGATAGTGCGTTAAGCAACATAATTCTGTTTGCATGGAAAAATACGACTACTGTGTTATTCCTGGCCCGCGACGACGACGACGAGTGACTTTCACCGCATGCAGCCAACTCGCAGCCAGACCCAGAGATAGTCGAGCATACATATCGAGAGATTACACTCGCGAGGTGGTTAAATTAAAATTATGGTATTTACGGTAATCAATCGTGTCCTTACCTAAATCCATCGAAGCCGTCCATGGAGTCATTGACGGTGAGCACGGGCGCCCTCGCGTACGCTTTCGCGACTCGTCTGTTTCTCTCGAAGACAATGACCTTAGCCCAGATCTCGTCGTCGATCTGATTCCACTTGTCCAGCACTTCCTGTATGTGATCCTGCCGAGACAAACACAGACGCATTAATCAAGTATATAATTACTTATTTTTCAAGTGGAAAATTTTCTATCGTAAAGTGGGTGTGTAGGGGGTAAACTTGTGAAAACCCGTCGCGAGTGTGCGTGATAATGTTAACAATATAGACTCCAGCTTGGAGACAGTCGACGGAATTGTTTTAATTTCCGTTAAGAAAAGCTTCTGTACGCATTTACGACGCGAGAAAGACAATGACAGAGAAAACTACGAGAAGGAAAACTGACACCATCTGTGTACGGCGTTACTTTCGGCGCCGAGTAACTTGGATAGCCGACACTACATGTCTATTATGCAGTACCCGCAAGTGTCGAGAAGATTCTCTCGATAGCTATATATACGAAATTTTGTTTGGATGTAAGTCCGTCGATCTCCTTTGGATATAACACTTCTTCTGCAATCAAAAGCACCAAGAAAAACAAGAAGACAATTGGGATCATGACAATGCATATCATTTATAACGCGCGTGGGCACACGTACACGATAATGATATCAATGAAAGTCGATCAAGGTAGAGAGGAGATAACATAGATTGTCAGGGGTCTTGAAAAATTTCATAGTGTATGGGCCAGAGGGGATCGACTTTTGTAAAATATTTTGCTATTTTGAGATTTCATTTACGCATGTCACGTGTTAATGAACGCGCGCTTACTCGCGGGGAGGTTGGAAAGAACGTATACATAACGACGAGATAGAATGAATAAATAAAAAAAATAAAAATTTTCCTCGGTGTAGTATTCGAACCTCTGACCATCATGGACGTCGACCGAGCGAGTATTACACGCGCGCCGTCATTCGTCATTATGTATACTCGCGTCAGTTCGGCGACAGATGGAGCATACTCCAAATTCGCAAGTGACAAAACGAAGCTCCTTTTAGAATAATTTCTTCGACTCTCGTGACGGACGATAGATTATTCAGCTTGTATATGATTGTCTGTACAGATCTGCACGCGTCCATAGAAAGTGTAATTCGTGTAAATAAAAAATTGCAGAGCTCGGCCGCACGCGTACCAGCGCGCTATTAATACAGCGCGCGCCCGGCTGGACGTGTTGGCTATGGCGCGCAGCTTTTCCACGGATAATCGCTACATGCGAAGATGATATATCGCGAGAGACTTTGAATTATTAGACTTTATTGGCTTGTTGCGTTCGCATCGTCTGCGTCTCTCTTTTTCTGTCTATACATACACGTGTAATACACACACACACACATTGGCGCGATCGCCGTGCGCAGCGCCTATGTAGCACATGCAGGCGGCTCTCGTGCTGTTTTATAGAAAGTTGGCGCTGCCGCTGCTGCAGGTGCAAAATTGAAACCTGTCGTTTTGTATCGGTCGCGCTTTTTAGATTATATATATGTGTTCGAGAGTAATAGTAATACCCTTACGCAATTTGCGCGAATTCTCATGTTTATAATACTCGTGGCAGCGCGCACGCGCGCGCGTTGCAATTAAAGTGAAAGATATTTTTCGGATACATCGCGGCGCGTATAATGCGACATAAGAGCCGAGTTTTTTTTTCTTCCTTTTTTTCTACTTTTCGTTGCTTTTTGTAGAGACAGCGGGGACGACAACGACGACGCCATTAAAAGACGCCGATGAATGTGCCCGGTCCAGGTCGATTAAATAACGGCGCGCTATAGCGTGTGCTGCACATATAATCCTAACGAGATATCAGCCGAAGATATATACGATGCTGTATATATATAAGCTCATAGAAAATCGGACGCTCGAGAGCTCGAGAGCGAGCTCGACGAGTTGTTGAGCCACTACTACGCCGGGCCGAGTTTTATATTTTGAAATTCAGCGAAAGAATTCGATCGAGACTCGCTCTCGAGCTCCTTATATACATACAAACTAACTCGCGAGGCAATCTCGGAAGAAAATCAATCGCGTCTCTGGAGCTGTGCATTGGGAGAAAACACACCCAGAGGGTGAGCTTCTATCGCGCGCGCATTTATAATATTCACAGGCGCTACTGATCTTTCGTCGCTGATGCGAGAAACGAAAGAAAAAAAAAACAACAACAAGGGCAGCACACGGGCAAGCTCAAGTTTTCGTAGAAAGTTTATGATATTGAATAAAATGCCTCTCGGCTGCAAGCGTCATACACGTTGTACGTTGTGGCATGGCTGGGGCAGATCAAAAAGCCTAATGGCATCGCGATGACGATCATCGCGCTCGACGACGACGGCGGCGTTAGTGTAGCACGATCGGAAGAGGAGAAATTAAAAAAAGCAACTTATCGGTAGAAAGATTATGGATTTTTATTATTTCTCTCCTGTCCTCTCGCGGGCAGTTCGCTACCGATTTTTTATTCGCGCAGAAACTTTTCAAACGGTTTTAGGCGTCGATCGCACGATTGTGATCTCGTTATGCTCTCACACTCCACAAATCGTAAACATAAATATATCGAATTTACGCGAAAGCTCGCGCGCATTACGTATTACAACGAGGAAGTGGCGTACGTTATATTGTACTTTATACATATACGAGCGCGAATGGATTTTCGTACGTAGCCTGGAGCTTTTTTTTCGGCTTTTTTTTCGTAACGAGCTCGTAAAACTTTTTCAACGGTGCTGCCACACGATTCGTGCTCGCGGACGTGTTGTATATTATCTCAACGGAATAAAGCAAAAAAAAAAAAAACGAAAAAAAAAGAATTGGCTCGTTCGAAGAGAGGAGCTAACGTCTTGTTTTCATGGAATACGGGCAGAAAAATTATATACCCCCTTGCATGAGCGCGCGCGTGACGTTGAATTATCGTACTTCAAAAGACTGATGAGCCGCGGATTGACTTAATATCTTTTTAATACGTGCAAGTGGCTGTCTGTGTAGGATAATGCGCGTGCACGCGCGCCCGGGTCGTATAGTAGCACTGACTCACGCCGGGTCCTACACACAATATAGTAATATCATCACGAGCCACAGCAGCAGCACGCAAATCATCAAAAGAGTAGAGAGAAGCTCGCACGCGCTCGAGAAGAGGAAGAGGGCAAAAAAATCACCGCTCCGTAATTACACGGCGTGTCGAAAATACGACTCGGACTCGAGGCAGTGGCAGTAGGCAGCAGCACCTTTCGGATCGGGTCAAAAATGCAGTGGCCAACACGCACACGAGGCGATCAGATGTTTGTGCACGGAAACGATTTTCTTCTCGCTCATCTCGCGAATCCCAAAATTTTAATTTAGACGGAGCGTAAACATGGATTCATATAATCGTATAAAAATTCGGCGCGTCAAGTATCATACGTATGCACGCGGGGATAGACTCTCGAGCACGTCGTCTTATATATTACACACAGGGGGAAAAAACTGCAAGCAGATTCGATATACATATGGCTATGTATATCTGGAGTCGATCGGTTGCGCCGCGCGCTTATATAGAAAACGCGTTGCGTAAAATCGATCGATCGGCTTTTTCCTCGGCATTCGAGCTTATGCATGCGCGGCTATCCTCGCTTCGCTTCGCGCCTGTCTCAATCTCTCCCTCTCTCTCTCTCTTTTCAGAGCTGAGAGACTGACGTCTCTCTTTCTCACCAGTTATGTGTCTGTTTCTGTGTGTGTGTATGTGTGTGCACCTATAGCGAAAGACTAAACTTTTCGTGGAAAGTGATTATGTACCTAGTTTTATGTATGTTTGCGCCTGTTCGCTAGACTAGCTCTTGCACTAGTTATATCTACTCTCTCTATGTACGTGAGGCATGTATGTATGCATGTATGTGTGTGTATCAGATTAGGTAATCGCGAGCCGCGGATGTATACGCCAAAAGCGTCCGTATATGTATAAAAAGCCCCCCCTGAGCTAGCTGCTGCGCGTCTTTTTTTTTGTTGTCGTTGCTTTTCTCGCATTCCCGCGCGAGCGAGCGTCGTTGTCTCTCGTCGTCTTTTTCTCCTGCGCAAAAGTTTCACGATATTGTGAACTGCACCTTATAATGCACCTTTAATTAAGAAAGCCTATATTAGCAGCTCCACGATATATACGCAATTATTCAGTCCATGAGTAAATTACAAAAGCCCGTCTTAGTCGTCGTCGTCGTTGTCTCCCCGGGCCCTGCCCACCCGTCGAGCGCGCAAATGGAAAGTAAAAAAAGCTTCGAGATGCGCGCGCGGCTTCTGCTTTGATAATGATTGTTTACCCTCGCGCGTCACTTTTCTTTCTTTTTCCTCTTCTTTTTCCTTTTTCGTTTTTTGTTTTCGACAAAGAATGGCTATAAAGAAGCTCGTTTCGCGTTCTGGAGAACGAGAGAGACTGAGACGAAGAAGAAGCGAGTGTGTCACTGACCCCGAAGCACATGGTATATACACGTATTATACGCAGCGCACGTGCAGTTGAAAATGTTTCTGCGTTACGTCGCGTGCATTATAAAAAAAAAATTTTCACTCGAATACACGAGGAATCTCGTCGAAACCGAAAGAATAAGCAAACGTATTTACTACAAACATGGGTTACTTTTCCCGAAATAAGTGATTTCAACGCTTTCGTCGCCGGTATACGTACCGAGCCGATATTATAAACAACTCGCGCGAGCGAATGTACGAAAACAAGTTGTCTTTTGTAGCTGCAGCTCGCGCGCGAAAACCGGCCTCGCGCCAGCAGACTCATATAGACGTATAGTCTCGTAATTTAGAAAAGCCAACGTTTATTCGTCCATTACGAGATATATCGCACACACCGCGGTAGCAACTACACACAGGCACGGCAGCTGACAAATCGCGCGACTCCGCGTTGTTGTTGCGATCGTTTTGATTCTCATTTGGTCGTCGTCTACTACCACTACTACTACTGCTACGGTGGGGTAACTGTGATCAACAAAAAAAAGCTTCGTTTTGTCGCTGGCGTTGTCGTAGTTGTTGTCATTAGTTATGTATTGCAGGACGACAGATTGATTTATTATAAAACTCTCAGCTGCTAGAGAAAGTATTTTTATTATTATCGACGCGCGCTGCACGCAGGGGAGCTAAAATTAAACGAAAAATAAAAAAAAAACAGCCAAAGAGGTAAATTATTGCACGTGGTAGGTATACGTATACTGCAGCACAGCGATATCTCGTTGCACAATCCGTGTAATACACAGTTGTCGCACTTTGTGTGTACGTGTGTGTGTGTGTTTCGCCGTGTATAGCGCAGTTTTTGCTATATTATTTTGTGTAAAAGTAGGCGTGTATGCAATTCAGGAATCCTCCACCACCTTTGCTATAGCGGCTCGCGCTCACTTACCTTATATAATTTGTCGACGTTGTACCAGACGTCTTCTTCTTCCTCGACCTCGTACTGTGTGTCCGCGAGATTGTCTCGCGACCGGGACAGGATTTTCCGTCTCGAAACCATTATAAATCTGCAACGACAAGAAAAACAAACATTATAATCCGAGACTTAAAAGCAGGATAAGAGTGGTATAATTGCTACGAAACATCGGTTAAATTGAATCAATCGAAAATCAATTATTCGAGCCTGGCTGCTGCTGTTGCTGCTCGCTGTAGCCGCAGCCACAAGCAAAGAGGGGAAAAAAATCACGATCGTGTGTATATATCGCGAAGCCCAAAGAGTTTCGCTTTTATCCGATTACGTAAACTGTTATAGTGCCGATTTCAGCATTCATCGGCACTTTTAGCGGTAGCTCTTCCACAACAATGCGGCCAAACTTTTCTTTCTTTCTCTCTCTCTCTCTTACTCTTTCGCTCGGGCTCAGAGTACAGTCGCTCGCTCACTCGCGGCGAAAATGATTTCCGGCCATTTAAAGGTATGTGTTTATTGTATATACACAGAGCCTCTCGCACAGTGTGCTGTGTGAAATAATTATATGCCTTTTTTCACCCGATGCACTGTGGTGCCTGTCTCGCGATCCTTTTCTCTCTCTCTGCGAACTCATGCGCGTGTGTTTGTTTTAAGTGCCTTTTTGGAAGGCTGATTTTAATTAATTTTCAGCATTATAAGAAGAGAGAGGGAGAAATCTTGAGTGAAAACTGTACAAAAATCGCAAGTTGTACGTATCGATTAAAGCGTGCTCGTATCAAGTCGAGCTCGCGGAATGAGTCGCTGCTGCGCAAGGAGTACAGCAGCTCGGCAGCAGGAGAAAAGAAAAAACTTGGCCCAGGCTAACTGTTAAAAATTCACCAAGTACATTCCACTTTCATCCTCTTTCTCTCTCTCTCTCTCTCTCTCTCTCGCTCGCACTACACGTAATCCAATAAAAGCTCGACCGACGATTTGTCGGTGCATGCATGCGTACATGTACGCGTCCGCGAGTCAAGAGCCGAGAAGCGAGCCGCTTAAAAACGACAACAATATCGCTTAAGCGAACGAGTTCCGAGACCGAGTCAAATTTTTCGGCCTCTACACTGTATGCAGAGCATATAAAAGTAGCAGCTGCTAAAAAGAGATGCAAAAATATCATCGTAACAAAAGCGATTCGCGGGCGTGAAGTGCAACGCATTATGACTATACACAGTGCTGCAGCTGCATTAACCTTTCGCGCGCGGGCTCGCTGCTGCGTAACGGTATATAATACAAGTTCTTATGTGCGGAGACTGCAGCAGCATCTCAGCGGCTCGCACGAGGAGCTTCGCAGCTATGCTCAACACCCAGAGACTTTTATCGTAACTAATTGTCGAGCTCGCGCGCAGCGACCACACAATAATACGCGTATAACGAGGCGTCTTATGTCGCTGGAAACGCGCGCGCGGCTTTTGACGCGCCTCGCGCGCGTCGAGCTTTTTTTACCTCGAGCGCGCGCGGCAGAATCCGCGTGTCGTTTTCATCCGAGTACTGCCTCCGTTGACAGTATAGACTTACAAACGTGCGTCGCGTGCTTATATAGCGTATACGACACAATAGCTACAAATTAAACGCAGTTTACAAGGCAAATTCAGTTGAAGCTTTTTTATTATTATTTAAACTCGCTTCTGCCGAACAAAACGCTTACGCGCGCGTTCGCGGAAATGACCATATAAAGCGCATAATATATATGAGATGCATAATATATGTATCCATTGGAGCGTGAATCGCCACTATAATACCACGTTGTGTGTGTGTGTGTGTGTCTGCACTTTCCCGATAAAAGTACCGTACCACGGTTAATTTTTTTTCTTTTCGTTCCGATCGTAAAGTCATTTCGACTCTTTAGCTTATGTACCACTATATACTACTCGGTGTGACAATGATGAATAAGCATCGGCGCGGCTTCTGCCAACGGACCGATTGACGTTACCGATTGTATTGTTGTTGTGTTTCGCCGTCGAGTATATTATATGTACGATTGTCTTTGATTGTAGAATAGCGTAGAGAGCGAGAGAGAGAGGATAAACTACGCCTGGGCCAAGGAGCCCATATATTCGTTCGTCGGAAGAAAGCGAAAAATCGGCGAGCTCGCGTCGATTTCACGGTGGTTTTCCGCTTCTATTTTTTTTCTCTTCGCCGGAGATCGCGCGAGAGAGAAGAGGACGAACATCGCGCGCGGCTATACACTTGACGTTTGTGCGCGGCTTTCTTTCATGAGTCGTCGACTTTTTCTTGATTTTCTCATATATACGTATTTATACGTCGGGCCGATCCGATCTGATAAACGTTTTGCAATAATTATACGTACGTAATATGCTAAGTAAGCTTGCGATGTCTGTGCTTGCGAGTCTATGAAAAATAAACGTCCATAATAGCGCGCGATCGTCGGTATATCCTTATCGCGGCCGATCTTTCGAAACGATCTCGCGTGGCTGTGCACTAGCCGATTATCCTCCGTGTACGTATGTACTATTCGCAGAGACTCTTAATTGGGAAAACGAATACAATAGAAAAATGTGTCTCTATATACGAGAGCTCTGACGTTTAGTCTAATTGGAAATTAAACGTATTATCATTTTCAATTTGCCCCGGCCTAATAAGCTCTCTTTTCTTCGGATGCAAAGACGACGATCGGCTCAATTTGGTACGGAAATACACGCGGATTTATTCCTTAAAGACGATCCTCGCGTATACGCGTGCTGTGTGACGTACACGAGACGCATAGATTTCTCCTTTCTTTTTGATTAATTTGCGCAGCATCAATTCGTGCGCACCCGCGAGGATGACTCACGTAAATTTTACAATATCCTTAGCCGTGCGTCGAAAGTGAAACGTCCTCATCTATCTCTCGAATGCGCAAAAAATTATGCTCGATTCTTTACGTACGAATTATTGCGTGGATACAGTCGATTTTCCCTTACGACGACGACGACGACGACTGCTACGATACACAGCAACCACGTGCACAATACAAAATAGAGGAAACAATAATTTCGCCTGCCTCGACGACGCTTTTTCCGCATTAATTCTCGTCACATTATACAGGCAAAAGACGCCACGGATTGCCTTATAATTAGCTGACGTAGCGAGGCATATCTCGCCGATCGTACATCATAATGGCACGCACTTGCCTCGGTCGATTGATTTTGGCCCGTATTCCACACCGAGCACAAGGAATTCTTAAAAAGTGAAATTTCCGCTTATTGATTATACACGATCCAGCCGGGGATTGTGTCTGCGCGAATTCGACGTATACGCGAGAGCTAATTCGAAGTTTCTCTGTGCGCGCGCGCTTTGTTACTCTTTTATCGTGTGTCGGGGCGCCCGCGCGCGAAAGCGTCTCGATGTCGCGCTCGCGGCTTTTACCTCTTTGCGCGAAAACGTTTTTTCTCGCATTGCACTCGATGTTGTTGTTGTTTTTTTTTCATTCGTACCCGAGAAAGATACATATTATATTTGGATGTAGGTCCGACCGCAAGTGTATAATACACGTACGTGTACGCGAGTTTCGTTCCGTCGGAGGAGAAAAAAATAGAGAGAAAAAAAGGAAAAAAAAAACGAAAAGCGATACGGTCGTCCGTTTCGGTCTGATTGAGTCTCGCGCGAGCGAAACATAAAGCTTTTCCCGCGTATAGTACATCGCGTATGCCATATATAATACCAGTAGCTGCTCTCTCGCGCTCCGCAGAGAACTCGAATACTTACGAGCTCGATCGAATGTCACGGAACAAAAGTAAGAACGAGAAGAAAAAAAAACAGAGAAAAAAAAGAAAATGTATATCGGCTAATTCGTTAAATCCGCTCGAATATGGCTCAATCCGTGCAATTACGATCCTTTAACGCGCGCGGGCCCATAGGCGCTATAGTGCAATATACTCGCGGCACATGATACGAGCGTACGTTGTAATCCCATACCTTTAGGTGTATATTATAACGTTCGTGTGCGTATCGTTTACTGCATCACAAGGTCATCGTCGTCGTCGTCGGGTCTCGCGCAAGTATTAAGACAAAGCGAATATCATATATAAAATAATCAGCGATCCAGAAATATTAAGCGCGCGCAAAGTCGGTACTCGTGTCTCTGATGATGATGATGATGATGATGATCGGAAGCTGCACTGCTGCTGCTGCTGCTGTTGCCGTGCATTATATATAGTCTCGAGTTTAGCATGCCTGCTGTATGGTATAGAGATAACTTCTGGCGGCAATGCAGCGATGTGCACTAACACAGACACAGACACACACACAAGGCGATTCAAAATTATGTATTCCTGCATGCAACCACGAGCTCGAGAGCGCGCGGGCTTCGTTGAGAGATTCGCGGATAAGCTCGCTATATTACGGTCGCATGGCTCTAAACGCTATATAAAGGACTGCGCGCCGCGTAAGTACGTAGACACACACACGAGCTTTTCTAATCTCGATTATTAGATACTTTTCGATCACGCATATATGCACACAGACACACCGTGTATAATAAGCCGATAAATTTGCGCTCGTTCGCATGCGCAGCGAATTCATATGCACAACCACATAGATTTTGATAAAATAAAAAAAAAGAGGGAAAAGAAGTTATGAGTAATAAACGTGTACTCGTTTAGGATTCGCACGCGCAAAGAAATCTTTATCACGCAGCATCATCGTCGCGCATTATACGCGCGCTGCACTCCGTGAAGCTTGTAGTACGTACGTAGCAGCAGCTCGCATATATACTCGAGGCAGCATACATATATAGCGAGAGCGTATAAAGCCACAATATAAGCTCGTTTCGTTGTAAATTATTACGAGCAGCTCTCCGCAGCACACACGGCTCACTCCGTATAGGTACCTATATAGCATTAGTGTAGTACTAGTCGTCGATATTGCTGTACGGTAAAATTTAATGTCTTATTCAAAATAAATATATGTACAGTGCAGATCTGCTGTTTTTGCTGCTACTACTACCACCACTGGTTGTTCAACTATAATTCAATTTCGACCTTGATTTTTCATATTACACTCGCGGAGCTACATTGCAGCTGCTATGAACTAGTTGCTTACATGCACATACACACACGC